CTGACCCAAGTCACAATTCTACATTTTGATCTAGAACTTACCTCAACTGCAGAACCCACTACAAAGGCTAAACATTCTAAGACAACAGCTCCTCCTCCGAAGGTTGAGGTGACGCTTCCACAAGTCACACTTCAGACTTTAAAGCAGGAGCTTACCAAATCTTCACACCCTACTACAGAGGCTAAACGTTTGTCTGTGCAGGAAACCTCAACTACAGAGACTACAATTCAAACTCCAACATCAGGTCAAGATCAAACTCAGCATCCAACGTTGCCAGTTACAGAGGCAAATAACACTCCAACTCCTCCACAGCACACTGAAGTGACACCTCCACATTCAGAACAGCTTCAGTCTGGTCTGAAACGCACCACTATTCCACATCCTGTAAATCCCACCACAGAAAATGCTCTAACTCTGCAAACGGAACCGAATGCCACCCCGTACACCAACATATGTGAGCTCTGTACCTGTCGAGATGAATCACTGTTGTGTGTTGGTCTCAGCCCAACGCAGAAGCTCCGCCAAGTGCCTGTGCCGAAGCCCAACACCTACAAGAAGGTTCTCACCACCCTGTAAGATCCACCTTTCCTCCCTTGTGCTCTACACTCTGCCTGCAGGGCAGCCTTTTCCTCAAGGTCTTCCTGGGCCTTCCTCATCTCCCTAACCCACACGGACTGTCTGCTTTTACCTTTTGCTTTTCAACTTTTCCTTGTCTGCATTCTCCTTCTTATTATGGTTCCCTTCTCTGTTCTTTAATTCTCAATTGCCCTTTCTCTTTTTCCATATCCATTTTTATTCAGCTGCGTCATCTCACTGCTTAACCTTTGCTCTCCCAGTTTTGCTTTACAACTCATCTCATTAGTGAGGATACAACAAAGTGGCTAAGAGTTGATTCTGGAACCTGACTGCCTGGGTTTGAATCAGGGCCTTTCATTTATTAACTTTGTACACCTGAGCAAATTATTTAGCTCTGTGACTCAGTTTCCTCATCTGTGGAAATGGGAATTATAATAGTTACCATTTCATAGGATTGTTGTATGATTTAGATGAATGAATACATGTAATACTTATCTGTATATGCTAAATATTCAGATAACTATTAATAATATTATTCAGTTCCTCAGTTATGTCCAGAACTCATCCTTGTCCTTATAATTTCTACATATTGCATCCATTTTGTGCCCAACCCAGGGCTAAGTTCTGTGGGAGTCACAGAATTATGGCATTGTCTCCAGAACATGAAAATGATAGATGCAAAGAAAGGAAAAAAGGCATAAAAAGGAGAGATGGTATATAATGAAATGCTAAAAGAGAATCAGACTATAGGAGCTGTAATTCGTCAGATTCTGTAATCGCTGAGTTGTGGAGGATAAGGTGAAAGTTTATCTAGAGCTTAGAGAGTGGCTGTAATTGTTAAATAGACAAAAAACAACCTAGGCAAAGGCATGGCTGCAGCAATAATCAGGCTTTAGTAGACCAGTCTGCCTGCAAAGAATTGGATTAGGAAGCAATGAAAGATGTTATATGAAAGACCTTGAATATGAACTACAGGGGTTTGAAAGTTACAGTGAGGTGTGGAGAGTCACTAAACGTTTCCAAGGAAGAGAGATGAATGATTAAAGCAGGACAATTTGTTGTTGTTTTGGAGATAGGCTCTTGCTATATATATCCCAGGCTGTCCTGGAACTTGTTAAGCAGACCAGGCTGGCCTCGAACTCACTCTCCTCCTACCTCAGCCTCCCAAGCACTGGGAACAAACCATGATCCAGAAGAATTGCTTTAGAATCTCCATATAGAGTAATCTAGAGGGAAAAGTTTAATTCAAAGAGACCATCTAGAAAGCTCTAGTAAAGTGTAGAGGTTAAGTAAAAAGGGAGTGAGTCAGAGTTAGTGATGAGAATAGACAGAAAATCCTGGGATTCTCTACATAGAAAGTTCACAGAGGATTTAGTGATGGGACTAAAGAGTTGAGAAAAATCAAACATGACTCCATAGTTTCTGTCCTGGAAGGATATGGATACCATGTGGAAACAGCAGTCAGGAAGGAGAGCCAGTTGGAGGGAACTGAGTTCAGTTTTAGGCCCTTTTATCAGTAAGAAATTAGGAAGCTTGTGGTTGAGTGGAAATGTCCAGTAGGCAGATGATCCAGCTTCTTCTCCACTCCACCTCCAGAAAAAGTATGTAAACTGAACAGGAGGGTGTTGCTGAGGGGTAAGGACAGAATCAAAGGTAAATGTTCAGAGGTATCCAGAGTGAAACTGAACATAAGGTAATTAACAGCTTCTTTTTGGCTGGGGCTGGGGTTTGAACTCAGGGCATCAGGGTGCAAAGCAGGCACTATACTGCTTGAGCCACATCTCCAGTCCATTTTTCTCTTGTTATTTTGGTGCTGGGGGTCTCATGAACTGTTTTGCCTGGGCTGCCTTTGAAACCATGATCCTCCTGATCTCAGCTTCCCAAGCAGCTAGGATTAAAGTCCTGAGCCACTGGAGCCTGGCTTAACTTCTTTTAAACATGTGTCACCTAAGGATAGATTCCCACTTTTAAAAAAGTCTCAAATGCTGGTGTGGTGGCACACGTGTTTAATCCCGCCACTCTGAGGACTGGAACAGGAGGGTGTGAACTTCAAGGCCACTCTTGACTACACAGCAAGGCTCTGTGTCAAAAAAAACCAAATGGTTGGGAATGTAGCTCAGTGGTAGAGCACTTGCCTACCATTTTCAGGTTACGTGGGTTCAATCGCCAGCACCTCAAAAAGTCATAGAAGCATGTAGGAAAAATGTGAACGTATACAGCCACCCTCGCACCCTTTGTCACCCACTCTTCCATGCCTACCACCCATAAGATAACCTGTTACACAACCCTGTGTGTCCTTCCTTCCACTTTCCTTTGCACTTTTTCCCTGATGAGGTAATGCTTTACTCCTCCTCAGATTAGTGCTTCCCCCTGCACCAGAGACCTTTCCACATCAGCTCATTTCTAATTGTCCTCTCCCTTCAGGAACGCACTTCCTGCTTTCTATGTGCTTTCTTCGTAAGATCACTTAGGCAAAGCTTTGGTGTTACCTGACAGAGTTTCTTTATTCTCATTTGCTAATAATGATAAAAATTTCCCCATTTTCCTATTGAATTATTTGTCCTTTTCTCATTGATTTGTAGGAGTAAGTTTAAACACAAATGATTTTGAGAAAAATACTTGCATTCAAAATAATTGACTGGCATTATATATACAAGCGATTGGACAGTGGGACTTGGGCTTCTGATGAGATCCTTCATCATTTGTGCTGCTCGTCCCGTTATTTCTTTATTAATTGCAAACTGAACAACTGGGAGTTCTCAAAGTTACAAAGCTGGTGGTTTTCCTATATTTGAACATTCCCTACTTCCCCCTCGCCCCCCCCACCGCCCTGTTTGCAATGATTCTTTCACTTATTCTGCTCCTCATTTTCCTACTTATTCAAGGATATAAACTATTTCCTCACAGAAATTTCCGTGGAAACTCTATTGATTACATTGATAAAAATACATGGAAAGCATATCGTTGGACTGAGAAACTGTGAGTATTTTCTTTCCAAATATGAATACAAAAACTGCATTGTAAGAGCCTCCTTGGTGGAGAATTTTGAGGTCAGTAACTCTGAGAAAAGGTATTTCCCCTCCACGCCCTGGATTGAACTCGATTGAAGTTCTGTGGTTATTTTAAACATTAAATTTCACACGAACCAGGGGATATAGCTCAGTGGTAAGGCACTTGTCTTGCATGCGTGAGGCCCTGTGCCAAAATGAAAAATAAAAACCAAACCTTCATGGTTCCTCTTTGAAATAAGTAAGAGGCAATTTAAATTGATTTTCCATTGTACAAGTAATATAAGTGAAATAACAGGTATAGTGAAAACCCTCCTTGTACCTTCATTCCCCACTGTTGAGGTAACCACTATTCTGAGTTTGGTATCTGTCCTTCCACATCTTTTCCCATATATTTGCCTACATGCATATTTATATACAGCAAATAGTTTTGTTGCATGACTTTCATAACATTTTCACATAAATGGTAACACCTTGCAACTTGATTCTTTCTCTTCACTGTGTCATATTTACTTCTTTCCCTGTACATAGAACTTTCCCTACCCATAAGCTCCTGCATAATATTCCACAGTGGGGCACATTGTGGCTGATTTCATAATTCCATATTCTTTTTAGAGCATGTCAAGTTTTCTTGTTGCACTCATAGCTACAATGAACAACCCTGTACATACTTCTTTCTGAGCATGGACAAGTATTCCTGTACAATAGGGATCTAGGAATGAGATGGGTAAGTTAACGACTAGTACAGATAGGGAATTTTAATTGCCCTCTAAAAAGTGGCGCCAACTTACACTCCAAGCAAAACAATATGATAGCACTCATTTCCCCGAGCCTTTCACCACTCGATTCTTTCCATCTTTTTGATGAATTTTGATCCAGAGATAACCTTTCATCTTCCAGAATTCTCAGTGAAAATCACCTGACTGAACTACGTAAGGATTCATTTGAAGGCCTGCTGTCCCTTGAGTATTTGTAAGTTAGTCAGTTGATCACATTTATCTGTGAGTTACTATTTATGAAATATATAAAGGGTTCAAAGTAGATACTTTCTGGAATCTCCTCCAGCAATAAAATTCTGCCCTTGTGTAAGTCTGTGTGGGTCTCAGTCCATCTCTGGCATTACATGCTTTGCATTTTCAGATTTTTAAAAATTGTATAGATAAGATACAATAAGATGTAGGGCTGGAGATGTGCCTCAAGCAGTAGAGTGCATACTTTGCAAGCACAAAAACCTGAGGTTAAAACCTCAGTACCACCACAACCAACAAAAAGATACAGTTGTAAAAAACTAATTATGACACTCCTATGAACCTTGGTTTATAAGTGTGTTTTGTATTTATATTTAGTCTATGGTCCATGGAGCCAATTCAATCCACAGTCTGGTTTTATAGCTCATAAGTTAAGAATGGTTTATCCTTTTTTTTTTTTTTTAAGTGGATCTGGTCTCACTAGCTTCTCTGTTCTGGCCTCAAACCTCAGATCCCAAGTAGCCACCACACCTGGCTGCCCTAACTCTTCACTGAGTACAAAATAAAAATCTCAGCAGCTTTTGTGAATGAGGAGGGACTATTTGCATAGTATTTCTGTCTGTTCGGAGATAAGAAAGTACTATGTTCTTTGCCTTGAAAGTTTGATTTTTGTCCTTTGTCCAGGGGGTGCGTTTGTGTGTACTTCATTAAGGTTATTAATGCTTACATTAATTAGCTTACTAATCTAATTAGCTTTTTTCAAATAGTTCTCCTTTCAAAAGAAGAAGACTTTTGGAAGTGAGTATAAAGAGCCTCACATGGCACAAAATACAGTCCTTTGAATCATCAACCCTTCATGGGCTCCCAGGGAAAACAAATGCATAACCTTAAACCATACTACAGCAAAGGTGCAGAAGAGGTTGGTCAGGAAGAAATAAACTCCATGCCTTTTAAGTAGTCATTTTTCTTCTCCTGCTCACTCCCCAGCTAGTGATTGAGTTTATAAATATTGGGTGTGCTTGGCAAGGCAGACAAGCAAGACCTAGTGCATGCTGTCAAGGAGAAATGGGATGGAAAAATAACCATTAAACCATAAGCCATAGAAACATTAAAAAGGGTATAAATTGTATCAAAACCACAAATGAGAAGAAAAATACTTTGAACTGGGTCAGGAAAATTGTTCCCAGAGCAACGCTGCTGGAACAGAACCTTAAAGGGCCCCAGGGAATCGTCAGAGAGGTATCTTGGGGAAATGTCTCTCTCTAAAACTCTGCAGAAGTAGAGTGGGAGAAAGGCAAAAGGCAAGAAAGTGCTTGAGGAATGCCATGAGTACCTGTAGAGTAGAAGAGAAGGAGAGTAGGAGATTGTAAGCAGACCATCTAAGACTTTGAATGCCAAGCAAAGGAGTCGAGATGGGGAACCACATTATCAGAGCCATGCTGTAAGACAATCTTGATCCTGCTTCAGAGTTTCATGGAGGGCTTGTTACAACTTGTTTCTGGACACGACGCCGACAGTTACTGGTTCAGTAAGTTTGTAGGAGGCTGAGAATTTGCATCCTTGAAAGTTCCCAGATGGCAGGGGTGGTGGTAAATGCCTGTGATCCCAGCACATGGGATTCTGAAGCAGGAGGATCCCAAGTTCAAGCCCAACCTAGGCTATGTAGAAAGTTCCAGGCCACCTGGGCTACACAGTAAGACCTTGTCTCAAAAACCAAAAACAAGTTGGGCATGGTAGTACATCCCTGTGATCCCAACACTGGAGAGGCTGGGGCAGGAAGAGCAAGAGCTCAAGGTCATCCTGACCTACATACTAACACCCTCTCTCAAAAATGAAACAAAAAATTCCCCAGTAATGGAGGTGTTCGAGAACCACTTCTGGAGAGTCTATCTGGTGACTATTCAGAACTGACTAGAAGGGGAGAGAGTAGAGGTAGGAATCAGTCAGGACAGTTACACCCATCCAGGTGAACAGTGAGGGACAAGCTGGAATGGAGGAAGGAGGAGAATTACCTGTTGCAAAGGATGGCTGTTTTCAAGTAAGAATCCAAGTTCATGTTGTTTTTGTTGTCCCACCACTGTACAACTGAAGCAGTTGTCTTCTTGGAATATTAAGTCAATATGAAACAAAAAATGAATTTGTTAACATGAAAGGATAATTTTGAATTAGTTCAAAGTCATATATTAGAGGAGCAGCTGCCTTTCAAATGATATGAAAGGGTATCTTTTATTCTGGTCTTAAACTGATTAACAAAAACAAATCAGGAAGGTATATATGCGTGTGTGAAAAGGGTGTGTGTGTGTAGAGAGAGAAGAGAGAATATTCCTTCTAATATTACCATTATACATACAACTTAAAACCTTTAGCTCAAAATATGGAATTTGATGAGAATACAAAAGGTCACATAGTCCTCCTGCTATCAGGAAAGATTATTTCCAAACTCCTTCAAGATCTACAGTTGTATGTTTTATGTATGAAAATCATGAAGGTGAGTCTTAGGTGGGAACAAGATTAGGGGCTTTAGAAAGTTCAAATCCAAAGGTTTAGAGTTTAGAAAAAACTATGTTTTCAGTACTATTGAGTCTAAACTCTATTCATGAAATTAGATATCTAATAACTAATCAATGCAATGTTTTCCTTTACTTTTCCTAGAGATTTATCCTGTAATAAAATACAGTATATTGAAAGAGGGACATTTGAATCACTACCTTTTTTGAAGTTTGTGTAAGTTACTTGATTATGCCTAGAATCTTGTTACTCATTTTGAAAGTTAATTAAAATTTTGCTAATAGAAAGTTACTAAAAGTATATATGCAGGTTCTTTTAGTGTGCAGCAAAGATGAATGTGAGGATCATTACAGGTCAGAGTGAAACATTCCACAGCAGTGCTTCTCCATCAGTGTGACTTTACCCCCAGGTGACACTTGGTGGCTGTGGATATGCTATTGGCACCTAGTGGGCAGACAATAGGGATGGTGTTAAATATCCTACAGTAGACAGAAAATTGTCCAACCAGAAATGTCAGTAGCACTGAAGATGTGAAACCCTGTTGCAGAGAAATAAAGATTACTTGACACAAGTAATCCTCAAGCATTCATTGTTTTGTATCTAATGCACTGCATTTGTAAATATGAAAGTAAAATCATAAGCCAGTATCATCCACAGTGAGATTTCTTTAATGTAGGAGGAAAGTATTGACGTTATAGTTCATCAAATGTAAGTTAGAATCACTACCACATGATGAGTGTTCTGAAAGAATATCTTTTTCCTTACCTTCTTTGGCTTTTTCTTTTTGTAGAAATCTTGGTTGCAATGTAATCACAGAGTTGAACTTTGGAACATTTCAGGCATGGCATGGAATGCAGTTTTTACAGCAAGTGTAAGTGGAATAGAAGATAAGCATGTTTCAAAACTGAAAAAAAAGAAAAAATTTATATCAAAAGTGAATTTATGCCAGACACAGTGACAGACACAGCCTGTGGTCAGTTAATGACAGGCTGATGTAAGAGGACTGCTTGAGCCCAGGAGTTCAAGGCCAGCCTGGGCTACAGAGCAAGGCCCTCTACCAAAGGAGAGACAGGAAGAGGGGGAAGGAGGGAGAAGGGGGGAGAGAGAGAGAGAGTGAATAAGAATGTATATAGTATGTATACAGAATGTTATTTATTTATTCAACAAACACTTAAGTACCTAGTAAATTTCAAGCTCTATGCCAGGGATGATAATAACAAGCTGTGCTCCCTTGCCCTTAACCTGCTGATAGTTTGGTAGACTGATAGGAAGACAGGTGATTAATTACCTGCAGTGCAACAAAGGCTGTGATGTGACAGAAGAATACAAGTGAGAATATGGGATGGGAGTGTGGCTTTCACCAGTTCAAGGCCAAGGAATTGGTCCTATTTCTTCCTTAACTGAGTGAATCAGATCATGAATTGTTTAACATCTCTAAATTGAAAGATGAGCACCTTCGTGAATTATGGAGGACACTAAAAATAGTGTTTCCTACAGGGCAGGGCTCCCTACCAGTGTAGTCAGTTCGAGAGTTTTTGACCTGAAAGTTCTTTGGCATATTTTTTTTCTATTTTCCCCCCCTCTTTTCTCCACTTTATTTTTTTAGAGACTTGGGTAGTCCCAAAGGAAGGCTGTTTATGGATTCTAAAAGTGATTTGTAGGTAAAGACAGAAAATGATTTTTTAACCCAGAATTTTCAAACAAAAAATGAATACAAACCTTTCATGTAGTCTCAGAGATATTGAAAATGCATTTAATTGCATTGCATTTTTCAGAATTCTCAGTCGTAATCCTCTGACAACTGTCGAAGATTCCCATCTTTTTAAATTGCCAGCATTAAAGTACCTGTAAGTATTGCAGTACTTTTTAGGAGTCATGAGATGATTTCTCTTGTTTACTTTCATCAAAGGTTAAGTCATCATTTGAATTTTAACTAGGTAATTGAAAAAAATGTTATTGGCAAAGGAAAGGGTTATAATGAACAAGACAGCCAGTCAGGGAAGAAGACACAGAGATACTGAATGTGAAAACAAAAGTACAAATACCATTTCTTCCTGAAAGAAAGAGTAAAGGGTAGGAGTGAAAGTAACAGAAAATGAAAAGTAAGCTAATGGTTAGAAAAAGGACTTAGGCTCTATTCAATGCCAAGGTCATTAATTTGATGATGCAAACAGTAAACTTAAATTTCTTCAATAAGAGTAATTAACTTCTGTAACAAACTTCTGAGATGGCTTGTATTATAGGGAAGTCAAACCTGAACTAATAACATTTCCTTGAAATGTCTTTTTAAGTATACACTCTTTGTGTTGGGTTCCTCATGAATGTGTGCTTTCTCCCTCAGTGACCTGGGAAAAACACAAGTGCGACTTGGGACACTTGAGAACATCCTCCTGATGACTCTTAAGTTGGAAAAACTGTAAGTTAGTTTTTATTAGATTTATGTATCACCTAGTTTCCTTTGGTTTGCTTGACTAATTTCTTAACTCAGGCTGATTGAGATGCCATTTCCATGTAACAAAATTCACACTTTTTTTTTTTTGAGGGACTGGGTTTTGAACTCAGGGCTTTGCACCTATTAGGCAGGTGCTTCTACCACTTGAGCCAAACCTCCCAAATTTACACTTTTTAAGTCTACAGTTTAATGGGTTTGCATAGCTATGTAACTCCAACCCCACTGATGATAATTACATGATCCTGTCATCTCCAAAAGCCCCTCACATCCTTTCAGAGTCAGTCCACTCCACCCACTGCTAGCCACTTGCAACTATCAAACATTTTTTTTTTTTTAATGGTACTGGGGTTTGAACTCAGGGTCTTGTCCTTGCTAGGCAGGCATGTGAGCCACTCTGCCAGCATTTTTTTGAGCATTCTTTCTTTTGGGGGGGAGGGTAGTGGGATTTGAACTCGGGGCCAACACCTTGAGCACCTCCACCAGCCCTTTTTTATGATTTTTTTTTTTTTTTTTTGAGATATGGTCTCTCAAACTACTTGTCCAGGCTGGCATACAAACGACAATCCTCCTGATCTCTGCCTGCTGAGTAGCTAAGATTACAGATATGAGCCACTGGTACCTGACTTTTTGAGCATTTTATATATGAAATCATACAGTACATAGCCTTTATGTTTGGCTTCTTTTATTCACCACTGGCAGTGATGAGAGTTACTTTTGCTCCATATTTTCACCTGATCCTTATATTTCAATTTCTTTTTAAATTTTAGCCTTTTTTACTAGTAGGTGTGTAGAGGTGTCTCATTGTCATCTTCATTTCCATTTCTTTAATGATGATGTTGAGTGCATTTATGTGCATATGTCTTCTTTACTGAAGTGTCTGCTCAAATCTGCTCTCATGTTTTAGTTGGATATTTATCTCCTTTCTGAGCTTGAAGAGTACTTTACATACTCTGGATCAAGTCTTTTCTCTCAGATATGTGCTGAGCAAATATCTTCTCTCTGGTTGTAGCTTGTCTTTTCACTCCCTTAATTGTCTTCTGAAGAGCAGAAGTTTTAAATATTTAAATTTTGATGAACTCTACCATAGGTAGTGTTTCTTGTATGGTTCTTGTTTACGTGTGTATGTGTGTCTCGCCTAAGAAATCTTTGTCTAAGAACCTGTTGTCACTGGGGTAGGTGGCTCATGCCTGTAATCCAATGTACTTGGGAGGCTGAAAAGTGGAGGATGAAAGTTCAAGGCAGTCTGGGCAAAAATTTAATGAGAATCCATCCCAGTGAGTAAGCCAGGTATGGTGATACATATCTGGAATCCCAGCTACACCAGAGGCTGTATGTAGAAGGATCAAGATCTCAGGCTGGCCCTAGGCAAAATCATGAGACTATCTGAAAATAACTACAGAAAGGCCAGGTGTCATGGCTCACATCTCTAATACTAGTTACTCGATGGTAGAAATCAATATTGGGGTGTCACAATAAAGAGAGGACAGAACTCAGAAATCAACTGGCAAGGCAAAATTTTCTTCTGTAGAAGGGTGGGCCACAAAGAAAGAGCAAGCACACACAGCAGGGAGTCCGCTGGGGTTTTATCTCTAATGCAATACTGCCCCTCCCCTCCCCTGAATTGGGCAGGTTTTGGGGTCACAGTCTATGCAGTTGGCTAACTGGAAAGAGGACATTGGGACGGGGCTTTGAAGACAAGGAAGCTTAAAACCTCAAGGAAGCAATACCTGTTTTAGGTTAAGCTCTGGAAGCAGGGCATCTAGCAGAATTTTGCCAAGCTGAGGCTAACAATCCTTTGTTCTTAATAGAAACTTTAATCACATTCACTACAGTCCATGAAGGGACTGTGTGGGAAGCAAGTTAGTGAGACTAACATTTGTAACAGCAGGGGTTACTGATTAAATCCTTTGACGGAAAAGACCCTACCTAAGCTCATTCTCACACTTAAGTCTAGAACTGGGAGGATCATGGCTCAAGGCCACCCTGGGCAAATAGTTCATGAGACCCCTATCACCAAAATAAACTAGAGCAAAGTGGAGTGGAGGTCCAAGCAGTAGAGCACCTGCTTTGCACTCTTGAAGCCCCAAGTTCAAACCCCAATCACACACACACAAACAAAACTTCAGCAAAAAAAAGGCAGTGGAGGGGGATTGGAGGGGTGGTGGTGGGGAAGGGACTGGGTGTGGCTCAAGTGGTAGAGAGCCTGCCTAGCAAGTACAGGCCTTGAGTTAAGAATCATAGTACCAGAGGTGTAGCTCAAGTGTTAGAGCACCTGCTTCTAAGAGCAAAACCCTGAGTTCAAACCCCAGTCCAACCCAAAAACAAAACAAAAAACAATATTAAAAGAAAAATCCATATACCCGAAAAACTGTTAAGAATGAGAGGGGAAGGGGCTAAGAAAGAGTAAACTAGATGACCAAACAACTTCATATGCCTGTTGAAAATATCACAATGAAAGCCCTTTGTACAGTTAAGCTATGCTAGTAAAAATTTTAAAACCCACAGTGGTGACCAAAAAAATCATTGTCTAAGCCAATCATAAAGATTTTCTGCTATGGTCCCTCTCAGAAATTACAGTTACATTTAGGTCTATGATCCATTTTGAGTTAATTTTAATGTATTTTAGTTTTTTTGGAAGTTTTGAAAAATATTTTTGTAGGGTCTATCATGACAGTTTATTATAACACAGCAACTTTAATTGTGGCATCTTCCCTCCAATATGGCAAGCTAAGTAGAAATTTGTATGCTAAGGACAGTCGAAAGGATTGCTCAAGGTTAGTATGGAAAAGGCCCTTCATTCAGCCCTCTGCTCTGAACATTTTTATGAGGACACCTCCTTACTAAAATCCCCACACTCAAATCTTTTGGTTTCTGCTCCAGTCTCATCATCCTCAACCTCCGATACAGTGTCTGCCAGTTGATCCCCCACTGTCAGGGAGATGCCTTCCTCTGGATAGCAGAGTCCTCATCACTAACCAGGCTTCTTAGTTACCCAAGGTAGTGGTGTTCTCCCTTGTCCTTCCTCCCTCCTTTCCCTTTGCTTCCTTCCCTCCCACCTTCCTATTTCTTTTTTTTCTTCTTTTTTGAGACAGGGTCTTGCTATGTAAACCCCCCTCCCTTTTTTTTTATTGTTGTGCTGGGTATCGGTACATTGTAGGATTTACGAAAGTTCTTACAATGTATCAAATATATCATACTTGAATTCACCCCCTCCACTGTTCTCCTTTATTCCATCCTCCCCCCAAGCTGCCCTTAAATTTGCAATCCTCCTGCCTCTCTGTCTCCTGAGTGCTGAGATTACACGCGGGCATCAGCATGCCCTGTTGCTTTTTTCTTGGATAGGAAAAACACTATCATTCTCTGGCCATTTTCACTCTTTAAGTTTTGTACGTACCTCATGGACATTTATAAGAACTCTGTTCATGTCTTTGTGTGCTCATTCTAACATGCATGTAAATTCTGTGTTGGTTATGATTGATTGTTTTTTCCCCTCAATACAGATCATTGCTTCTTTGCATCCTTAATTTTTGGATTCCACACACCGTGAATTTGAATTTGTTGTATACTGTATATTTTGATATTCCTATAAATATGCTTGATCATATTTCAGGTGAGGTTATGTTACTCAAAACAATTTCACCATTTGGGCTCGAACTTTAAAGATTTGTGAAGAGGTACCACAAAGTAACCCTTAATCCAGAGTCATTATTGACAAGTACTAAGGCAAGACCTTTGAGTACCTAGTGCCCTATGATCATTAGGGTTTCCAGTCTGCCTTGTGGGAACAGGCAGTATTCCTAACCCTGTGCCATATCCTCTAATCTGTTTGGTGGGGCTTTTCCTAGCCTTGAGTAGTTTCCTCACACACATGCACTGATTAGTACTTTGCTGTATACTTGACCATCCTTCGACACGGCTCCAGAGTTTTTTCTCTGTGACTCTGTCTCATCTGGTACTGTGCTCTGAATTATAGTCACCTTGGTTCACCTGGATCTCAAGTTTCATTTCTTTTATTTATTTATTGGTAGTATGGGGCTTGAACTCAGGGCCTCACACTTGCAAGGCAGACTCTCTACAACTTGAGCCACTCAACCAGCCCTCAAGTCCATTTCCTTAAGTAGGGAGATCATCAGTCTCTGCTTGTGTTCCTTCCCTACCTTGTAACCTGGAAACTCTCAGAGTGGTAAGCTAGTGTGTTAGTCAGCTTTGCATCCCTATGACAGAGTACCTGGGAAAACAACTTAGAAGAGGAAAGGATTCTGTTTTCTCGGGGAGGGGGCTCTCAGTTTATGAGGTTTCTGTCGATGTCTATTGCTGTGGATTTGTGAGGAAGAACAAACGGTAGTGGGAGCCTGTGGCAGAGGCTGCTCACTTAATGGGCAGCTAAGAAAGAGAGAGAGAGAAGATCCAGGGAGAAAATATACACTTCAAAGGCATTCCCCTTTAACCTACTTCCTCCACCTAGACCCCATTTCCTAGGAGCCCAATTCAGCTCTGCGCTTATAAATGGATTAATCCCTTCAACACCACCCTATGGGTTATACCTCATAACCAAACTAACAAGTAGGGAAATCACAGGGCTCACTTCATTTATTTCCCATTTCTTGATTGTCTGATATCCAATGTCTTGAAAACTTGTTCTTTCATATATTTTATTGCTGTTTTGGGTGGAAGGTTAAATTGGTTCCTGTCACTCCATCTTGGCCATAAGCCAATAATGCTCTTTAAGTCTGTTTTGTTTTTATTCATAGACCAGCTGTTATTTCCTTTAGTCTAAAAAATTTCACCACTTTTTTTTTTTTTTTGTCTTTCAGCACATTGGGACATTTAAACAGTCTGAGACAGTTGTCTTGTAAATGGTTCCACAATCTGGATTTGTCTTTTCCTCAGGACTAAATTCAGGTTAACCCTGTGATATACCACATGATTTCAGGTGACCCGTGCTACTGTCTAGTCACCTGATTAAAGTGGCATCCTGAAGATCTTCAAATTCTCACTTCATCATTATGATATAACCAGTGGACCATCAATTAGAGATCACTGAAGATGCTGCCCTCAAGCATCTTTTCACCCACCTATGCATCAGTGAGAATCCTTATTCAAACCAGTTATTACTTGGTGCTCACAAAATAATGCTTTTCTAGTTCTGTCATTCCTTCTACATTTATTAGCTTGCATTATTCTATTAATGAACAGCCCTCCTCCACCGGTTTTTTTTTTTTTTTTGAGTATTACTATGGGTACAGGATTCCTCTTATTTATGCTGTACCTTATTATCATCTTTACAGTTCTTGTGTGGGTGATGCTGACATCAAAGCCAGGATCTTCTCAGACATCTGGACAAGCCCTCTGCCACTGAGCTGCACCCCTAGCCCTCTAGTTTTTTGTGTGCTCAGATTGCCCAGATTTACACAGTGTTTTCTAACCACACAATATGGATTAAGCTATGCTGTTTTTAATGCCCAGAATAATTTCTAGTATTTGCCACTTCCGATGGGAATTGAGAAAGTGACTTCCTAAGTTGGGAGTTTATCATAGAAGTCTGCCTCCTTCCTGTGCACTGCCAACCCAGACTGAGACTTGAGTTGAGAGGAGATGCTTCTGATTGATACTACAGACCAATGTCACCCAATTCTAATCCTTAGCACTCTATTTTAGGCATAGGACACCCACTGCCATGCCGATCCTTCAGTTAGGCACCTGTCTTCCTTCCTGTTTATTTTCAATATGCAAGAGCAGCAATTTACCTTTGGGCTCTTTCCAACCTGTCCAGGTTATGTGCTACCTGAAGAGTTCTTTTTGCACAGCCCTGTGGCCTTCCTCTTCCACCCTTCAGTACCCCCTTTCCATTAACTTAATTATCTGTGTTTCCATCTGTAGGATCTTACCTAGCCATATGGCCTGCTGCCTCTGCCAATATAAAAGTAACATTGAAGGTGTCTGCAAGACAGTCAAGCTGCATTGTGACAATGAATGTCTGCCAAACACCATACAGTGTCGTGAGTCTGTTGTCTTTTGAAAAATGTTTTAATTTTAATTTCTAATATTCAGTTTCTAAATAGTGATAAATTATTAAACTAATAATGTAATTGCTTTACTTTTATTTATTCACCCAGAGTTAAACTTCCTAAATTTCTGAACTGCTCCCGTGCTCAATGTCAGGTTCTTAGTTGTCATTGCATAATTTCTAATAGAACTCTTCCATATGGGCAAGGACCTAGAAGAGGCAGGGAATAATATTAATGGTCACTGTACTGTATTCTCCCCTTGGGGCTTTGACATCCAGGGATCACTTATTCATACAGTGTCATGCAGCTTGTAAGTAGCTTTTATATGTGTTATGTCTCAAGTGCTCCCTGACCTACATACAGGGCAGCGTTTTGCTTGTTTGTTTTTGCAATTTTATATAAAAAAAAAAAGTAAGTGCTACTCTCTTATTTGGAATCTGGGAGTTTATAATTCTGTAACTAGCAATTACTGCCTTACTCTCCTAATGAAGTGAGAGCTCTTCATGCTTAGACTGTCCAACTCTGAACTCACTCTCAGTTGAGGCTTTTCTATCTATGCACAGATCCCTTAGGTGCTTTTATGGGTATATGTAGGTATTATATCTTGTCATTAGCACTAATGTCTTGGCTTCCAAAATATCAGTGCTTTGATATCCTGATAGCTCGAAAACACAAGCCTACTGGTGAAGTCACTTTGTGACTTACATGAACCCAGTGTTCAAAACAATTTTTCAGCAGTAACATTATTCTCGTTTTACCCGCATGAAAAACATACTTTTTCATTTCCTTTTATCCTGAGGAAAATAAGATCTCAGGTGCCATGTGCTTTATCCCAATACCTGGATCATCTGTCCCCAGTTCTGGGCTCTCCAGGAGTCCACATTCTTCCTTCCTCATCACCCTTGTCTCCTGCTCTAACTCTCATTACCACCACAAATACTCTCAAATGTCCTGGAAAAAAAAAGCCTAACTACACCATACTCCAGCTGACCTCGATGCAATCAGATGCTTTGGATGGCTCCCAAGTTGGAATTGTTAGTAATGAAATGAAAGCAGTTCAAACATTGGGCTAAAGTATCTTTTCAAAATAAAAATAAAGTTTAAAAAAGAGAAAAAACAAAAAAGGACAGAAAAGAAAAAAAAGTAGCTTTCCCCCCAGGGATTTAGGACCTCAAGACGTGTTTCCCCAGAAGTTGCTGTTACTCTACAGATTTGTTGCACATTGCACAGAGACATACAGCCAGGCAAACTGAAAATTCCTTGACCTGCATATCCCAGCTCCCTGACCAAATTTAAGGAAAAATCCAGGAATGGTAGAGTGTTTTTGTTTTTGTTTGGTATAGAGTCTTCTGTTATGGGGGTTAGGCTACATGGGATCAGAGCCCAAGCAAAGGAACTAAATGGGTAGGTGGAAGAGGACAGGCCACCTGAAGATTTCTTAGCGAAAGAATGCTCCCCTCATAGGACTGTCCTTCATCTGGCTCTCTGTGACAGTAGCAAGAACACAGTATGGGGAAGGGGAGTTGAGAGAAGAAGCTTTGTTATCCTTCTGTGTCTGAGTCAGGACGGTATGGGAACTGTGAATGTGAAGAGGTTTGCTGAGCAGGCAAATATTTGTCTTCCAGTCTTGGTATTTTATTGAGTATTGGGCATTTGGCTTTCCTAACCAGAGTTCCTGTATTTCACACTATGGAATGTTCTGAATAGGTAGCTACTTTGTCAAAGTTGTCTTTTTCTCTCTTTGTTGCCATTTCATAGGTTTAAAGTTTGGGCTTATTTTTCTCCCCTTTAAACGACACTCAAATAATGCCTCCCCTCTACTTTGTCTGTGATTTGTAGCGATGATCTGATTTAAAAAAAAAAACAAAACTGTCCACCAGTCTTCCCCTTACCAACAGCAGTCTTTTTTTTTTTTTTTTTTTTGACAGTTGAAGAACGATCTATAGAGAACACAGAAGGAAAATTCATGAAGGTGTTACAGACCCGGAAGAAGAGCACAAACACTGAGTTGACTATTGAACCAGAAAGGGGATATGAGGACCAAAATGGTGTCAGCTCTTCTGGCTTCATAAATGAGCAGCCAGACTTTAATGATGATGAAAGTGATCTCATTAGTGCACTAAATTACCTATTGCCATTTTTCTCACAGGGAAATCTAAAAGGTGTAGAATCAAAATTGTTACCATTCATTAAACTGCTTTTTTCCAATGTGCAAAATGGAAATAATTCCCCTGGTAATTTGAAAACTGATACAAGGAGACCCCCTCTTAAACCTTCTTCAGACAACTCAGCTTACAAAAGTAAATTGAACAAGCTCTATTTTCTGGAAAATTTGTTAGATGCAGAAATTCAGGAAAAAATTGATGAGGTTAAAAAAGAAAAAACAGCCATGTTTATGCAGCCTAGCCTTCTTAGTCCCAAATCTGAACGCCAAATCTTTCAATGGAAAATGGATACTGACCAACCCCAGGAAAACAGCCTGGCAGAGACTGCAGAGAAAAGGCTGCAGAGGGTGAACAGAGTCCTCAAGGGGCCAAAAAGCATACAGAAAAGGCATTTCAAGGAAGTGAGGAAACAGAGCATCTGGGGGAGACAGAGTGCCCTGCCTCTTATGGAGAATATTGGTGCAGAAAGAAGGCTTAGGAGACCATCCCTAGGGGAGCTGCAGAAGCTTCCCATGGTACAGGAGCCATGGAAATCAGAGGAATTCACCTTCCAAACAGACCCCTCACTCACAGAAGAACAGAAGGCAACTGTCTCTTCTTCCCTGAATCCATACTCAGCGGACATGTCTACTATTGCAAAACCACTACCTGACGTCAGAAATAAAGCAAAAGACTTAACCTACAGCATGTTTGTTTTAGAAGATGCAAATGCTAGAGTTAAAAACATAGAGGCTTCTAAACCAATCATACATGACCGAAAAAATCTCCTTCATAAAACAGGCTCTCGTGTGGTCCATGGAACACCTAAGTCAAAACTGACTCAAAAGGTCAGAAAGAAAAAGTCTCGCTTGAGCATGCTGCTTGCACACAGGCCTCCCTTCCCTGCGGTGAGGAGCCTCATAAATTCCCCTTCACAAAGGGCCATTGCATCTTTGGGAGACCTGAGTTCTCAGGACAACCCTTTTTCAGAATTATATGCGCTTTCAGAACCTGTTACAGAGGACACTCCTATACAAAAACAGACTGAAGAAAATGCTCTTATGGCAAACACTGATGAGCCAGAAGAAAGTTTCTCTGAAGCCACAAACCAGGAAGATGCTGCTGATGCAGATTCCAGTGTGGGTGCATTCAAAATACCAACTGTGAAACAAACCAATGAGATACAATGGGAGTACCCCAACATGGGCACTGACTCAACCACCAAGCCCAAAGATCTCCTTACCACACTGGCATCCCTGGCTGACCTTCTTGTATCAAAACTAATCCAGCAGCTTCAGTCCCTCATCCCCAACAATGATGTGAGAACACTTCTTTCTCAAATGATCAAGACCTTAGGGGTTGACTGCTCTGATGCTGATGTGCAGAAGGCCTGTTCTAAGCTTATCCTCAGAACAGGCTACTTAATGAAACTTCTCAGTGAGGAGCGAGAACTCAGTGTGTCCAGAACTGACTGGGATACAGACCACTGGAAAACAGAGGACTACATCAGTGACAGTACAGAGCTTCAGCGTGGACAGAAGGGGCAGGAATCAAGTGAGGTGAGGAAATCTATAAAATATAAGACCTTGATTTTCCCATCATTCAGGATAAGCCTAAGCATTTCCTATGCTTAGGCAGGAAGCAGGAAGACCAGGGGTGCTAGTGCAGTGCAAAGTTATGAGGCTAAGACTGTGTCCCCCATTTTGCTCCTTTGGAGACTGAAGTGGACCTAAAACAGATAAAATTTAATAGAAAAATGCAAATTAATAAGGCATGTAACATATTAAATTTGGTGCATTCTTTAAGAACCTACAAGCTACTCACCTGGAACAATGGGGTTTTAAATAGTTTTCATCCTTCCCATCTCTTTGTTACTTAACAAAAACTATTATTTTTCTTTTTAGCTTATACAAGAAGTTCCAGCATATGGTTGTAACAAAAAACTCCTCATCTTGGCAGTATCTGTGGCCGTAATAGTGATGATCGTGATTCCAGTTTCCTGTCTCTGTATCATCGAGGTAAGAACCACAATTCATTCAGGTTTCCAGAATATATGTTGTCTTTGTAAGAGTCAGACCCCACAAACTGAAAACCAAAGGCATTTTCCCACTCTCTACAGAAAGGTAATTCCGTGATGGTGTACACAGTGTTCTGTCTATAGATTCGTATTTCTCACTGTCAAGCCATTACATGGCATTCTGAATTTGGGTCAATCCTGTGATATCAGTAAGATGACAGAGTCTAATTTTTTATCTAGGAGTCAGGGACCAGCATGGGGTTAGTTTGTGAAGACCTCTGGGAAGCTGACCACTGGCCACTGCCCAGGCAGTACCCTCTGCATCTCCCAGTGGCTTACAGCCTTTCTTGAAATTTCTATAAACTCTTATACTGCTTTTAATTTGTATGTTCAGTGCAAGCTGTATTTGTATTTATTTATGTTTTCATTATTCCCTCTGCTGTTCAAATGATAAGCTCTTTGAAAGGACAATATTTTACCTGGAGTAGATAGTAATGGTAGTCAAAGAGAGATAAAAGGCATTGGGTCAACTCCACAATGAGGAATAATACAATTCAATATTTATTTAAAGTAGCATGCAGAGTTCAACAACAGACAGACTAGGTCTTCCCAAGTTTTGTGTGTGTGCTGGAATTAAAAAAGGGCCTTTCACATGCTGAGCATGTACTGTACCACTGAGCTGCACTTCTAGCCTAAGACTTCAAAGGTCACCTTCTAATAATTCTAGTCAGTGGAACAAACGGTAATAGAAGAGCTGCCTAACTATTTAAGAGCAAGTAACAAAACACTGCTACACTTCACCCTAAACAAATATATTTCCATAAATATAAAGACAGACTGGGAGATGGAGGGAGGGAGGAAGGGAGAGAGAGATAAAGATTGAGAGGAGAGAGACAGAGAGAGAGAGAGAAACTAAACACAGGCCATACTTTTATAGTTTTGTGGTGGAAAGAGCTTTCTAAGTCTGATACCATGGGCAGGAACCTTTGGTAGATTTGACCACCTTGCCTCTGGTGCCATAGCAATCTTATATTTATGGGTGCTAGGCATAGGACAAAGAGTTTTCCATAGATCTGATATAGTCCTCACAAAAATCCTGTGAGGCAGATCTCATCAGTCCTGTTTTACAAATGAAGATCATTTAAGGCCCCAGTGACAAAACCAAAGGCATAAAAGCCTCCAATTTTCCTGGCCATAAAACCTGAACCACTTACTACCAGTGCTCTGTTTTGCCTCCTTAGAGACAATACTGGGAAATATCTGAAACACTGAGATCCAAGGAAAGCCATCAAAAACCATTGAAAGAATGAATACATTTAATGTAAAACAGGACAAATACAATTCACTGGGAAGGGAGTCAGGGCTGTGAAGAGCAGGTGTGTTTCCAGTGGAAACCACCACATCGATCAGCCCCCATCCTCACCCCACACCTTGCCTCAGAGCTTATGGGATTTTTGGTTTGGGTTGTTTGTTTCTTTGTTTTGTACTGGGATTTGAATTCAGGATCTCACACTTGCTAGGCAAATGACTAGTTTATTCTTAAGATAGGATCTCAAGTTTTTGCCCAGGCCAGGTTAGGACCATGATCCTCCCATCCTCCCTGAGTTTTGGAATTTTATCACATAAATCATATACATCTTTGCGTAAACTTATTCTCAGGGACTTCCTACATCTTTATTGCTAGTGTAAGGAGCTCTTTCATTTTTCTAATTCCTATTGGTGATACATGGGAAAGCTATGGAGGTGTTTGAGCTGATGTCTTCATTTTCTATCTAATTACATTAGTGAATTCAATTGGTGCCAATTAAATTTTATTTGATTGTCTTGGGCTTTTTGAATTGTTCATCATTTCACATACAAATAATATTTTGGCCCTTCCTTTCTAATGCTTATAACCCATTTGTTTGCCTTATTACATTGACTGGGACCTCATCAACAGGGATGATTGAAGCACTAATAAGAAACATTTACTCTTGCTTTTGCTCTAAAAACAGCACTGCTAGTTTGCTTTCTGGGAGATACTTTTTTTTTTTTAATCCACATAAGGATGTTTCCTTTTGCGATTTGAAGGGTTTTTCTTGAGAATTCTCCACTGAATTTTATCTAAAACAGTCAGTACAATGTTATCAAGTGCCAGCTGCATGCAAGTTCCTAAGTTAGGAACTGTGGAAGAGAAAAAGAACTATCAACAGACTAGAATTCCTGTGTTAAGAAAAGTTACATGAGTTAGTAAGACTTAAAGGGATGGATAAAGATTTGAAGATAATGTTTCCTGTGGTGGATAATCATAATTGTGCTTTCTTCCAAAACAGATTTATTCCCACAGAAGAACAGAGGATGATAGAGAAGGGTCCTCAAGGTAAATATAGATCTAGCACTCTTTTCATGAGGGTCTGAGAACTAGGGGAGAACTTAGAACTCATCTCTCATCTCTAGGGAAGCACTTAGAACTCACTGGTTTCACAGTGAGTAAACACCCAGATGCCGGAAGAATACTCATTTCCCATAGGGTTTCGACTGGCTCCAGCAAAAGTAGTTCCATAGTCAAGGCAGAGGAAGCCAGGACTTTACTATCACCAGTCCCTCAAGCAAAGAGGGCAAAGAGTAAGAGGTCATGCGTGCTCCTGCTGGTGGTGGGCATCTAGCTCAGACAGAGACTTTACTGGAGGCTTTGGGGCCTCTGTTGGGATGCCCCAGGATGTTAGGCAGGGCTGGTGAAAGATGGAGTTTCTGAGTCCTTCCTGTAAAGTAGTGTGAAAACTGACCTTCTCAATCCTATTAGTTACCTTCTCATCTCTACTCTCTCTTTTAACCAAACCTCATAGATCTTTAGTTAGGAAAGACCTTAGACAGTAGTTGGTCTCTTCTGTTTATCATAAGGAAATGGGAAAGAAAAAGGGTAAACATCTTGTCCCATGGTCATACTGCTAGTGAGTCTCAGGAAGGTGGCTCCTTTGAAACCTGACACTTCTCCATTACTTACACTGTGGTTGGGCTGTGATTACATTTTATATCACGAATCAGTACTCACATACCATGCAATGAACGTAGTTTCTAGAACAATACACACAAGATACTTTGTCTTTTAGTGCTAGTATTAGCCTTTAAACTGATTTCATGCTGCATTTATTAGTAACAGCCTCAGTAGGAAAATCTATGAGCTAGATACTTCATTACTTGGACTCATATATTTGCTTTGGCTGCCTATGAGTCCACTTATGGGGAAAGCAGCTAGGAAAACAGAACTACCTTCTCCCTCACCTTGCCCCCCACCCCGCCCCAGTGAGTGAATGATGCATGAGAGCCAAATCTGAAGAGGACTAATATGAAAGGCTCTGAGAGTGTGAAATGCTTCTTCCCAGTGTGGTTGTGCAGCTTGTTCACTGCACAAGGGCACACAGCAGAGGGGATAAGTGGGACTACTGATCCTGTCTACACTCCAAGCCACGCCCCATACAAAGGGCTTCCCAGACATTGTCAGGCTCATTGGGGCAGACGTGGACAGCTCCTGGATGCATGGAATTATTTTAAAGCCCCCAGGTCTGGGGTGACTTTGCTTGTTGTGATTATGGACCAAAGCACAAGTTTTTGTCTTAGTAAGACCTGAGATGTACATTTTAAGAGACATGTAAAATAACATGATTCACTAACTGCCTTGTGCATGTGTTTTCCTCCATGGGGATTTTTCGGATTTCCGCGCAGGAGCAACAAAAAGGTAAGTGAGAGTCAGGCAAGTTTGAAGAGGACTTGGCACTGTGGCTGGAAAACGGAGGGAAAACAGAATTAATATCTCCCCTTCTCTTTCCTAGGAGGGCTTCTTCCGGTTAAGGTGGCCAAATTGGCTTAAGGGTATGTACAGATCTCTCAGTGTCATACCCAAGAAAAGTATGGGCCAGAAGCTACATGACACAGACTCTTCAGATGAATATGAGATCTTCAATAAGGATGCAGGGTAAATGGCGGAGGGGTGATTTAAGATTCCTAGCTAACACAGGAGTAAGAAAAAGTTGGGACTTTAAAAAGTAAAAGTCTTGCATTGTTCTTCTCCCAGGGAGCTCAAGGAAGTCATCATAGACATTTATAGAACTTCAAGAGAAAAAGGATTGCAATCTTCTTCAACGGGAACTCAGTGAAGTCATCATACACAGTTCTAGCACTTCAAGAGAAAAAGGCTTGCAGTATTCTCCCAGGGAGCTCAGCCATGTCATCCTAACAGTTCCACAGGAGGGAGATTCAGCCCCAGAGGCTGAGAAGACAGAACTGGCTGAGTTGCTCTCCACTCAGCCTATACAGTGATGCCTCTCCTGCCTCAGAAACTGACAATTTTTGTCTTCTAATGGTTTTTCTCATTAAAATGTATGAAATTTATAACCAATTCTCTCCCTGTAGTAAGAAATTAAAACCTAAACAGTTACATAATGTATATGCAAATCACAAGGCCAGAGCCAAGAAAACCAGAACTGATGCTTGACTCCTTTGTGGCAGTCTAGCTTCTGCAAGAGGCAGTGTAGGCAGTGAAGAGTGCCTTTTGCCCTACCTCCTCCAGTGTAATCATCCTCTGGGCATCAGAAAACATAACTTCAAGGGATGTAGATTTTTAAGTCAAATCCCAGATGTTCTCTTGCTCTTTTGCTCTAGTTCATCAAGAACCAGTCATTTCCAAGGTATTTGCCTCTTGCCCTCATGGAACTGTACACCTCTAGATCTCCTCACTAAATGTTGGGGACACTAGCATATCAGTGAGTCTACCGTAGTGAGGGTCCAGGTCTTGTTTTTTTTTCCCCCCTAGTTTAGCCTTCAAACTATTACATGAGTATGGTCCTGTCTTGGAAGTGTTTTCCATTTTGACAAGCAGGTAGAAAATTGATAGCAGTTTGTTTTTCTTTTAAAAATCTCAACCCTGCTAGCCACCGGTGGCTCACGCCTGTAATCCCAGGTACTCAGGAGGCAGAGATCAGGAAAGTCTCGGTTTGAGGCCAGCCCAAGCAACTACTTTGGGAGACCCTATATCAAAAAAAACCCTTCACAAAAAAAAAGCAGGTAGAATGGCTCAAGCTCTAGGCCCTGAGTTCAAACCCCAGTACCACACACACACACACACACACACACACACACACA